AGGTGCATCACCCAAGAACCGCAGCTGCCACGTCACCACAGCTTGGCAGCTCCTGTGTTCAGCGTCTGCCCCCAAAAGTCAGTGTGCACCATAGCTACCAGTCAGATGGTCAGATGATTGGATGGTCACATAGGCTTTTATGTATATAGATATACATACATTTTTTAATTGATTTCAGAGAGGAAAGGAGAGGAAGAGAGATAGAAACATCAATTATGAGAGAGAATCATTGATGGGCTGCCTCCCACACATCCCCCACTGGGGATCGAACCCGGAACCTGGACACGTGCCCCGGACTGGAATCGACCCCTGGACCCTCCAGTCCAAAGGCTAACATTCTATCCACTGAGCCAAACCAGACAGGGCTAAGAAAAAGTTTGTTTCACACACTAAATAGAGCCCATTTTCATTCATTAATTACAAAAAATCCTATATAATGAGAGAAATATGCTAATTATCTGTTAACTCCATGAGGCTTAACGACCAACCAGATCACAGATCTGCAGGAGGATGGGGCAGTTAACTACAAGCAGGAGGTGGAGAGCTACAGGAGGGGACAGGACAGCAAGCTATGAGGTGGTGGGAGGGAGTTGGGGGGAGCTACAGGAAGGCGGGACAGCAGGTAGAGAGCTATAGAAGGGCAGCAGCGAGCTACTGGCTACAGGTGGTCAGCAGAGAGCTACAGGAGGGGGCAGGGCAGCAAGCTATGAGGGAAGGAGTGGGGGAGGACTGCGAGAGGGTGCAGGCCAGGTTGAGGGATGAATTTCGTGCCCTGGGCCTCTAGTTAGGTATAACTGACTCTATCTAACGCAATATACCTTCAGAATTCTATGAAAAAACTCCATTGAAAGTCCTATTTCTTAAAATAGGTGGTCCTGATAAACAAAACAAAAAATTACCTTTTTCTGTAATTAAGATAACATTCATACTTGAATTGAAAAAAAACAAACAAACCCTAACTGGTTGGCTCAGTGGATAGAGCGTCGGCCTGTGGACTGAAGGGTCCCAGGTTTGATTCCTGTCAAGGGCATGCACCTTGGTTGCAGGCACATCCCCAGGAGGGGGTGTACAGGAGGCAGCTGATCAATGTTTCTCTCTCATCAATGTTTCTAACTCTCTATTCCTCTCCCTTCTTCTCTGTAAAAAATCAATACATTTAAAAAGGAAATACAAACAAAAATGGAATCCAATCTTCTCTGATATGCTGCAATCAAGTCATTTAGCTGCTTGCTGGACTGAATTGATACATAAGGGAATATGCTTCCTCAGTTGCTTAGCAGTAAAGGGAGACAAGTATTTTCATGTTTTACCTCTTTTCTCGTTGCTATTCCTTTATTTTCTCCCACAAGTAGTACTCCTAATTCATCTTTCCACAATCCAATATGCCCTATCTTTTGGGAAATACTACGACTCCATCACTTGCCTCCTAAAATGGCTTTGCTACTAGAGAACACAAACAAAAATCAAAGTGAGTACAACCCTGTGATTGCCAGCAGCAAGATGACCCAGTGATCCCTGCCTTATGGTATTCACACTCTTGTGTGTAAATACCCGCCCACGCTGCAACAGCACTGTTCAGTGTTAACACAATATGGCAGAAGTGATGGTGATGTCACTTCTGTGATTAGATTATGAAGGCTCTGCGGCTTCTGGTTCTCTCTCATCATTAATCCTGAGAAAAGCCATGTCATGAGTAGCCCAATGGAAGGTCCACAGGAGGAACTGTAGCCTCCTGCCAAGAACCACAGAGTGACCTGGGAAACAAATTCTCTAGTCTCAGACAATAGCTTGAGAGACCTTATGAGACCCTGAGCCAGAAGCATTCAGTTAAGCCATTCTCAGCTTCTTGACCCTCAGAAACTGTGTAAGATAAATGTTTGCTGTTTTTAAGCTAAGTTTTGGAGTAATTCATTAGACAGCAAGTGGTAACTAATACAAATAGTAATGCTAAATAATAACACATTCCTGCTCCTGTCAGACTAACATGTGTATTATAAAAATGCCCAGGTTCAATCCTGTGAAATACATGCTGTACAAAGTCAACACACTATCAAATCAAAAGTATTTCACATCTGCCAAAACCGGTTTAGCTCAATGGATAGAGTGTCGGTTTGGGGACTGAAGGGACCCAGGTTCGATTCCGGTCAAGGGCATGTACCTTGGTTGTGGGCACATCCCCAGTGGGGAGTGTGCAAGAGGCAGCTGATCGATGACTCTCTCTCATCGATGTTTCTAACTCTCTACCTCTCTCCCTTCCTCTCTGTACAAAACCAATAAAATATATTTAAAAAAAAAAAAAAAAAGTATTTCACATCAAATCTATGCTTTATTACCTACCAGAATAGTGAGATTAAAAAAAATTAATGCCCAATATTAGCAAAGGTGAGTGGCAATAGAAATGTTCACACATAGTTGCTTGGGGCATAATCAATACAGTCTTTTTTGAGAATAATGGAGCAATACCTATTAAAAGTCATACAATTCCACTATTTAGGCATTTGCCCTATAGTTTACCCTGTTATATCTCGTGATATACTTGCCTTAGTGCTCAAAGATACAGATAGAAAGATATAGATAATTAACTCGTGAAAAACTGGAAATCTAAATATTCATTTTAAAAACCTGTTAAATCAATTATAATACACATGTACAAATGAAGGATGGACTATGATCCACCCTTACAAAAATAAAGAAAACATATACAGACTGATTTAGAAAAGATACCTAAGATATACATAAAGAAAAAATTAAGAAGATATGTATAATCCCATTCCCATAAGAGAACATGATAATGAGCTCATTTTAAGAAAATTAAATTAGGATCATCATAATTCAAGCCACATTTTCACATTTTATAGTCTCATTCATTTAAAGGTAATCATTTTTATGCAAATTTTCCATAGCAAGCTAAATAAAACCTATTTTAATTTCATTTTTGCTTAGCACCTATACTATCCACAAATAATAATGATGATGATAGTCATATTGAACAAATACTACATGATAGAAACTATTAATCACCTCCAAATAGTTTACACATATCATGTAATCCTCAAATAATGTAATATAAGTAACACTATTATCTTTACTGTAAAATTTTTTTTTAAATAAAACATAAGGAATTAGTAAAGCCACAGAGTCTACAAGAGTAAAGAATTCAAAGTCAGAAGTTTGTTCTCTTAGCCAATACCCTATAGTCTTTTACTCACTTATTCATAGTTCAAGGAGGGAGGGGTGGGGGAAGACTAATGTGTTCTATATCAAACAGCTTAGCAAATAAACCAAAACAACTGCAACCCTGGAATGTCTGTCGGGATGATTCTTAACTCTTATGAGAAAGCGAAAAGAGACTAAGGATAGAACAAAAGTAATTTTTAATTAAAAATGGGTATTTTATAATTGTCTAAAAAATGCCACATATTTTACTGAAATTACAGAATCTTCCCTGCTTGGTTAATTCTTAGAAATTTCTTCCAGTCAATTACATTTAGTATTTGTCCAAAAAAGCAAATTCCCTTTCTTGGAGCATCACTGTAATAAATGTGTTACTGGAAAATGAAGAGAAACTGAACAAAATCTCTATAAAAACCTAAGAGGCTGCCCAAGCCAGGTAGCTCAATTGGTTAGAGAATCCTCCCATAGGCCAAGGTTTCATGTTTGGTCCCCAGTCAGGGCACATACAAGAAGCAACTAATGAATTCAGAAATTGATGTTTCTCACTCTCTCGCACTCTCACCATCCCTCCTTCCTTTTTTTTTTTCTCTCTCTCTACAAATCCATCAATAAGTAATTATCTTTAAAAGGAAAACTACCTTTTTTAATAAACCTAATAGTCTATATATAGTGTTTGCCTCTCTTCCCCTTTCTGTGCATTCTCCTTAATTATTATACTTTTGCCTTATTTTCAATCTTAACCCATTCACGCATGGATAAAGAATAAAAATTAAGATTAGTTTAAGATATGTAAAAAGACCAAGTTAATAAGTCCCATCAAATTCTAACTACAACTAATCATGCAATGGATGCTTACCCAAAGACTCTGTCTACCACACTGTATTTAGCCACCCTTTTTTTTTTAATCTCCAAGAAACAGAGGAACTACAGGAATGCAATAGATGCTCACCCTAAAGGAGCACGGAGCATCACAGGCTTTAGTGAACCACATCTAACCATAAAAAATACGTTAACCAATCCCTGTATTCATTCTTCAAAATACTAGTACACAAACCCAACCTCCCTCCTTCTCCCAGCCCAGCCCCTTAAAAAAAAAAGCCCGGGCATTCCAGAGTGATACCTCCTGCATTCCAATCCCGGCAGGCCCACCTGATGAAGGCCCCGGGGCAGTCCCGACCTCCCTCCCTGTGAAATGGGAACATTGGCACCGACTTCAGGAAGCTGTGGCAGGAACGAAGTAAGATAACTCACGATAAAGCGCTTAGGTCAGAGCCTGGGACAGAACGGGCACTCTGTAAACGCCAACCATTATTATTATGTCTCCAAAATGAACGGCCTGTAGTCTGGATTTTTCTCCTTTTCAGGGATGAGACTCTAACCAAACTCCATCAGGACAACTGGGCATATAGGCGGGGGCGGTATATTCTCACAGGGATTGTTTTCAGAGCACTTTCGCTCGTTTCAATACAATTGTTTTTCGTGAACGTAAACACTCCGGACCCCGTCCCCCCCCCCCCCCCATATTTTTACCTGGCGGTGTGTCTGGACCCCAGAAGACAGCGCAGCCTGGAAACAGAGTCCAGATGCTCCGGCTCCGAGAGGGGCCGCTGACACACGGCGGCCACCCCGGGAGGCGGCAGCCCCGGGCAGGCCAGCGGCGACAGCCGGCTCATAGAAACAACGTCCCTTTTCCCCTCTTCCTCCCCGGGTGTCAAAACGAATGACGCCTTTTCTCTCCCTGAAACCGAGGCAAAGCATCTTTGGGGTCTCTCCTCCAGCCCTGCGCGTGTGAATCCAACCCCACCACACCACTGTCCCCGACTCACAGCGTGTGTCCGCACACATTCACCATCAGCTTTAAGGAAGGGTTCCGGTACTTGGTGGTCTTACACCGCGGGCAACCCTGATCGTCCATAGTGCCCTCTTTCGTAGGGACTCCCCGACGCCGGCTTCGCCACAGCCAGTCACCTCCCTGGCCCCTGAGAACCGACACCAAACAGGTTCCCACCAACAAGCACTTGGCCGAGACGGTCCCTTTGCGAATGAGCGCCGGCCGGAAAGAGGCACCGCGGCACAAAGGTTCCGGCTGCGAGTTTTCCTGTCCTGCCAGGAGCCTCCATGGGTCTTAGCTTCCGTGAGACAGCAATACCTTGGATTTCGGGGGAGGGCTCTTAACAAGGTAAATGGTACGCAAAGCCTCATCACTGTGCACCTAACTGAACTTTTTTTTCAAGGAACAGTTTCACAATTAGAAACATGTATTCCATCTTGTTCTGTCTGAAAACATTCTCATGTTTTGACAGATATATGGCTGGTGTACAGAACATTCAGAGTAGTATTTTTTTTTATTTTTTTTTTTTTTTTACGATTTGATGGATTGTGCTTTATATTCCTTATGCTTGCACATTCATGAAAGCACAGCAATACTATGCATTTGCAGATAGAAAGTTTGGAAATTTTAGGATGAAAGTCTCTGCACCGATCCTAAATATTACAAATTCTCACTAAATGTCAGAATACTTTTATAAATAACAGCTAGTAACTGCTCTACAATGATTGACAGTATCACCTGGCTCTCATATATCTTACTTTCTCTGCATAAAATATATTTTTCCCCAAATATTGGACGAGAGAGGGGTCACAAAAGAATATACACTTTATATCAGCAATTTTAAGATTTGAGAACCTAAATCTCTGTGGAAATTGTAAGCCATGTTCACTGCATTTACAAAAGCTGCAAAGGGAAGTCTGTAAACAGCTCTATGAGAAAATAAATTCCTCCCATTGTAAGGGACACATCTTATCTCCATAACAAGGATGTGCTGATACTTCCTCAATATGTAGAGTAAATGAAAAATGAGGGAATGACTATCAGTAGTGTAATGTGAAAAAAATGTTATGCCAAGCATTATCTTGTACTCGGACCCAAATTCCATCAGGAGAAATGGACAATAATACAAAACTTTTCATAACCCATACAATGAATACCAGCTGTATACACTCAAAGTAATTTAAAGTTTTTGCCCTGGCCACCAGGTAGCTCAGTTGGTTAGAGCATCATCTGGAATACACCAAGATTGCAGGTTCAATTCCTGGTCAGGACACATACAAGAATTAACCAATGAATGCATAAATAAGTAGAACAACATATATATCTCTCTCCCTCCTTCCCTCCTCCCTCTCTCCCTCCTTTTCCTTTTTCTTTAAAGAAAAATCAGTAAATAAATTTTTCATAGCAGTTTTGCACTTTTCAATAAAAACATTAAAAGGGATATTCCAACTCCCACATTTTTTAACAGTGAACCCAGTAGGCAACCCAAAGTGTGGAAATACAGTTTAGATTACCACAGGATATAAAGAGAAAACCTAACAAACAACTGAATACCACATCTGGGAAACAGCAGATCAAAGCTGACCATGGCAGCACAGGGCTTTTATATTAGTATATAGACATAAATAAGTCCTGTCATCTGCTTGATCATAATATTGTTTGTTAGACAATACCAAATGCTGTGCTAACCTGGAGGCTTATTATGCTGCTATTGTCTTACTGAAAGAGAACACATCCAAACCAGTTACCTGACTCAGTGAAACTCTCTAAGAATAAAGGGTCTTTTAGGGTCTTTATATTTTAACAGAGCAGGAAACTTCTGGTGAAAGGGTGAATATGATCAGTGAGCAAATGCAACTTTTAGCCATTGCTACAACCATCATAGAGCTAGAGACAGTAGAAACAGATTTGGCTGAATTCAAATGTGAGCTTCATCACTCAGTGGCTTTATGACCTCAGTCTCAGATTTCCCAACTATAAGTTGAGGATAACACTTGTAAAGATTAAATGAGATATTTCATTTTAAGTGCTTAACACAGAGTAAGAGCTCAATAACTGTTAGCCATTATTAAAGTAGTATAAATATTATTAGCAATAGTCTCTAAAAGAAGCAATGTAATGGGGAGGAGCCTATACTTTGAAATCAGACAGATCTATTTTTTCTAAATCTTTACTGTTGAAATTATTACATATGTCCCCTTTTAATCTCCATTGATTCCTTCTATCCTGCCCCTGCCTCCTACCCCCTATCTCCTACCCCAGGCCTTCACCACGCCAGACAGACCTGTTTTTGAACCAAATTTATTATTATCCCTTACCTGTTTCCTTCCTCTATATAATATACTGCACAGGAGTGCTATAATGATTAAATTTCGTGACATGTACATATACAAAGGCCCTACTACAATGCCTAATGCATAATAGAAACTCTGAAATGTACACCATTATTACTGGTAGGGGTCACTAACACAGAATAGTCAGAAAACTTTGAGAAGGAAAGCACTAATAGCAACAGATTGCTGAATCAAACAGAGCCTCAGCCTATGTTAAAACCACCAAATTATCAAGTTTCCTCCATTTCTGAGGAGACATGCACCTGGACCACTCTTCCCAAATCTGCTCATCCTCCAGCATTCCTCTCTCAGTTAAGAGTAGATTCTACCTCTCTGGGGCAGTGTTTTTCTCAAATGCAGACTTTCCTTTTCAGTCCCAGGACTCCAGGCTGGGTTTTCCTCATCTGAAGAGCATATTTAGATATCATTCTCCTCTCCCCGCAACCAACAACTTACGGAAAACAGATCCTCTCCCACAGGCCTCTGGAGTTTCAACATGCCTGTTAACGCATTGCTGATCCGCTGGCCTACGGGTTGACATAAACCCTTAATGGACCAATATAAATCTTCCCTAGAATTTTTCAAATTGGCAGGAAGGGAAAAAACAGCACCGCCTCTTTAATGAAGTGAGAGAATGTGAGCCGGGAACAACTACTGAGAGCCCTGGTTCTACACCTTCTGGGGAACACCCTTTGAAAGATTAAAACTAATTTGAGAAAGGCGAAGATGAGTGAAATGACACCATGTGTCTTCATTTCACTGACCTCCTCTTCACATTGTTTGGTATCAGGATCCAATAAATTCATATTTTGTCGGAGGCCAGTTCAAGTGGGGTTTCCCCAGCCCCTAGGAAAATTCATATCACCACAAGAAAGCTGCTCTCCCTACGAGACCACTAGAACCTGACACTCACTCATTCCCTCTCTGCCCAGATCTTCTTCCTCCACTATTATTACCCATGAAACTCACTAAGTCATCCTCCTCTTTCCCATGCCACAGGCTGGTTGCTTGGTCACTGAGAACTCCCAGGCAATACATGCAAGGCTCCCTCTATCAGTCTTAACTAATCTCCTCATGCAAGTTTTTAAAACCCCAGGAAAGTATTCTGACTGTTCTAATTTGGGGCAAGTGGCCATCCCTGTACCTATCAACTCTGGCCATGATATTATGTAGATTTAACCATTGTAGAAGGACTACTCTGTCCACCACACCACAGCAAACCAAGCATTTCAATCAAAAGTCCTTCATCATTTTCCCCCAGCATGCCTTGTAAGCTAATCTCCCACCACACACTTACGTAAAACACATTTCAGACACACTGAAATACTCAGTATTTTTACGTAACTTCATAGCTCCGTGCTTTTACTCATTTTGTTCCCTCTGCTTCTAATGAGCTCTCTCCTTTTTCTCTCAAAATTCAAAATAAAAGCCACTCCTCGTTGCCCTTCCTGCTTTCAGAATTAGTCTCTTTACCCTGACCACTCCCACACCCTGTATTTACTTATGTTTTGTCTCTCCCACTGGCTTTTATACTCAGGATCAGAGACCCCAATCTATTCATCTTTCTGTCTTTCAGTACCTGATGAAACACTTTGTACTTAATGAGAACTCAATAAGTGTTTGGCAAATAAATGATCCTTTAGAAATGCTGACTACATATTATCAATCCAATAGAACACCTCCTCTGCCTAAAAGATAACTTTAGAACCTACATTTCTTTTTTTTAAATATATTTTTATTGATTTCAGAAAGAAAGGGAAAGGGAGAGAGAGATAGAAACATCAATGATGAGAAAGAATATTGATTGGAATATTGATTGGCTTCCTGCACGTTGCGCCCCACTCCCCACCCCTGCACTGGGGATTGAACCTGCAACCTGGGTATGTGCCCTGACCAGGAATCAAACAGGTGACCTCTTGGTTCCTGGGTCAACGCTCATCAACGCTCAACTGTTGATGGCTGGGCGAACCTAGCTTTCTTTTTTTTCTTTTTTTTAAAAAATATATTTTATTGATTTTATACAGAGAGGAAGGGAGAGAGATAGAGAGTTAGAAACATCGATGAAAGAGAGTCATCTATCAGCTGCCTCTTGCACACCCCCTACTGGGGATATGCCCGCAACCAAGGTACATGCCCTTGACCGGAATCGAACCCGGGACCCTTCGGTCCCCAAGCCGACGCTCTATCCATTGAGCCAAACCGGTCCCGGCTAGCTTTCTTAATGGTACAAGTACATAAGCTTTCTGAAATAGTAAGAGTGTGCCAAGATATGGTTATCTGGCCTTTCCTCTATCTTTCAGACCTGCAAAGTCAGCCTTGACAAAGAAATCTCCACCCTTGGTAGCAAAACCATTAAATACAGTCCAGCAAAGTGTAGCATTCTGTGCTGGACCAAATTTTCTTGAACACTAAAGTGGCAAAACATTTCCAGGCACTCGCATCACTCTCTTCAGGCAGGAAGGAAAAAATACAGAAACAAGAAGCTTGATTTTCACTCTCACACGATCCCAGCCTCAACTTTGTTTTTCCAAATTGCAACACAGCTTTAGACTCTATGGCAGCACAGAAGACTCAATGTTCATGGCAGGCATAAAAGGAGAGACAAAAGTATTCATCAATTTTACAAATCATTTTGGCAAAACTAGTGCTCTAAGGTGAACCCTACACACCCTCAAGTCTGGTGTCCCATTATAACTGACCCTGTTGGAGTCGAGGGCTTCCAGTCTACTTTAAATTGCTGCCAGAATAATC